TTTTTTAAAATTTTTTTTCCAAGTATTTCAGCATGGATAATTTCTACTTACCTATATTCTAATTCATTGGTTTTTTTTCCTTGCCATGTCCAGTGTTCTAAGCCTGTCGAAGGAATTATTCATCTCTAATAATGTGCTTTTACTTTCTAGCATTTCCATCTCTCTGCTGAGATTTCCTGTATGTTCACACAGGTTGTCTACCTTTTCACTAGATCCTTTAACATAATAATCATAGCCCAACATCTGGGTCATTTTTCAATCTGGTTCTGTTGATTGCTTTAAACTCTTTATAATGGATTTTTTCCTTTGCTGTTTTGAATGTCCTGTAATTTTTTATTGAATGATGGATATTCCTTGTAGAAGAGTAGTAAAAACTGAGGTAAAAAATATTTATACCAAAAACAAGTATGCCTCTCTTTCTGTTGGATTAGAAATGTAGGTGATTGAATCAATCTAGGATTTGAGCTGAGTTTGAGTTTTATTGTTATTATAACAACAAATCTGTTGGTGTACCACAGGATTTTTTTATTAAAGATTATTTATTTATTAAAGAGAGAGAAAGAGAGCACACACAAACAGGAGGGAGGGGCAGAGGGAGAAGGAGAAATAGCAGGGAGCAGGGACCCAGGGCTTGATCCCAGGACCCAGATGATGACCTGAGCTGAGGGCAGATGCTTAACTAACTGAGCCACGCAGGTGGCCTGTACCACACGGGTATGGAAGCTGGAGTGCTGAGGATTTTTCTTCTTGCTGCTTAGTTTTCAGCAGTCCTTGCATGCCTGTGTTATGGAGGGACCTCTCCCCACGTTCTTTTTCCTCCTCAGTACGGAGTAGGGTTGCTTATTGCTAGTGCTTGGCTTGTGGTGCAACAGGCTTCTCCATTCTCCTGCTCAGCTTTGGTCTTAGGTTAAGTCGTGTATAGCTCAGCCTTCGAGGTGGGGGCTTTCTCAGGATTTCTTCCCCTTCCCCCGAAGCTGACAAATCCTGCCTTGTTTCTGTGGTACGTCTTCAATAAAAGAGTTTCCCAGAAGTTGCCAACTTCTACTCTGTGTTAGTTCAGTTCAAGCCCTTGAACCCCAGGGTGTCCTGCTGCTCCCCAGGGGCAGAAAGTTTGCACTTCTGTCTCTCCCCCAGAAGAGTCTTTGCCAGGGTCCTGCGGTAGTAGTGTTTTATGCTCCTTCCTCAGTATCTCTTCTCATATCAGAGGAAGGTTTGGGGAAGTCAGGGGAGGTCTCAAGGTTGTCCCCTAGTGACCGAACTACCACCTTCAAAGACTCTCCTCATCTCTGGAAAAATATTTATTGCTATCCTATAGAAAGGAATGTGGTGTTTTGACTTAGCTTCTTTACAGCTATTTACTAAAGATATGACACACAAATAGTAATTTAAATATTAATCTATTATCCTGCTGCCTGCTGTTTACCAGACGCTGCTGCAGGAAAACATTTGTCTCTCAATAATCTGTTTCTTCTAGCTATTTTTTTTCTAGCTACTTTTCATAGTGCCACCCAAAGTTAAACTCTGTCAAAATGAATGACAAAAAAAAAAGAAAAAAGAAAAAAAAAAAGAAAAAAAAAAGCTGTTGTGTGAGAGGCTAGTGCATACCTCACCCTTGGACCCAGAGCTCTGCTCTCTGGAGACTGTCCGCAGGGCCATACAAGGTAGACGTTTAATAGCAGCTTATTTGTAAAACTTATCACCTTGAACAGTTCCTTATAAGGAGATTTCTGACCTTACAGACATCTGCGGGAGCACACATGGTGCCAGGGATTTGAGGACAGTTGGTTAAACCTTACTTTGAAGCCAGGGAAAGTCTAGTTATTTAGTCCTACTCATACCTGTGGGGAAAATGAAGCCAAGTTATTTTTAGAGGATGATTTCTGTCACAAATGGCTTCTCTGAGGCACCTAAGCAGAAGACCAGAATTAGAAAAGGGGAAATGAACTTTTGTTCCAGTAAATGTTCAGTATGAAATATGAAATCACATTAACGAGTTTTCAGAGCCTGAGGAAGATGTTTTTTTAAAAAAGGCAATATAACTGACTTAAGTCTGCAACTTCTATACTAATTATCAATATTAAGGCCACTCAAGGTATTTTTCCCAGTTTTATTGAGATGTAACTGACATTTAACGTTGTGTTAGGTTTAGGTGTACAACATGACGTGTGTATATCGCAAAATGGGCATTACATCCGTCGATCCATCACCTCACATAATCATACAATTTTTTTGTGGTTTATTTTCTTGACAGCTTTCAAGTCTATGTTACGGTCTTGACCTTAGTCACCTAGTCACCGTACTGTACATCACCAGGACATGTTTGTAATTCTAAGTTTGTACTTTTTGACCTCCTTTGCCCATTTTGCCCACCTTCCCCCACTCCGTCCCCCTGGCCACCACCAATCAGCTTTCTGTATTTTTTTTTTTTAATGCAAGTTAATTTTAACATGTGTTCTACTGGTGAGGGAATGTTTTACAGCCTCTTTGTACTGAAATGTGTTCAGGAGCTGAGACACCCAAGTCCGTGTTACTTGAGCAACTGAACTGCCAGTCTGTCCTTACAACAGCAAGGAAAATGGAAAACAGGAAAAAGGTTTATTGTTAAAAGGGGGTTCCTGCGCCCAATCTCGGAGGTAAAGTTTGGGGAGTCGGGGACGCCGAGCAGCCAAAATGAAGGTGAAGATGCTGAGCCGGAACCCGGACAACTATGTCCACGAAACCAAGCTGGACTTACAACGAGTTCCAAGAAACTATGATCCTACCTTACATCCTTTTGAGGTCCCACGAGAGTACGTAAGAGCTTTAAATGCTACCAAACTGGAACAGGTATTTGAAAAACCATTTCTTGCTTCCCTGGATGGTCACCAAGATGAAGTCAATTGCTTGGCAAAGCATCCAAAGAGCCTGGCTACTGTCCTTTCTGGGGCATGTGATGGAGAGGTTAGAATTTGAAATTTGACTAAACGAAAATGTATCCGCACAATACAAGCACATGAAGGTTTTGTACGAGGAATATGTACTCAATTTTGTGGGACTTCTTTTTTTACTGTTGGTGATGACAAAACTGTGAAGCAGTGGAAAATAGATGGACCGGGCTATGGAGAAGAGGAGGAACCATTGTATACAATACTAGGAAAGACAGTGTATATAGGAATTGATCATCACTGGAAAGAAGCTGTTTTTGCCACATGCGGACAGCAAGTAGACATTTGGGATGAGCAAAGAACAAGTCCTATATGTTCAATGACCTGGGAATTCGACAGTAAAAGTAGTGTTAAATTTAATCCAATTGAGACATTTCTCTTGGGAAGTTGTGCTTCTGACAGAAATATAGTACTATATGATATGAGGCAAGCTACTCCCCTGAAAAAGTTCATCTTAGATATGAGAACAAATACAATATGTTGGAACCCTATAGAAGCTTTCATTTTTACTGCAGCAAATGAAGATTACAACTTATATACTTTTGATATGCGTGCACTGGACACTCCCGTAATGGTACATATGGATCATGTATCTGCGGTGCTTGATGTGGATTATTCTCCCACTGGGAAAGAGTTTGTGTCAGCTAGTTTTGATAAATCTATTCGTATCTTTCCTGTGGACAAAAGTAGAAGCAGGGAGGTCTATCACACAAAGAGAATGCAAGATGTTATCTGTGTGAAATGGACTTCTGACAGCAAATATATTATGTGTGGATCTGATGAAATGAACATTTGTCTATGGAAAGCTAATGCTTCTGAAAAATTGGGTGTGCTTACATCACGAGAAAAAGCAGCCAAAGATTATAACCAGAAGTTGAAGGAGAAATTTCAACATCATCCTCACATAAAACGCATTGCTCGTCACCGGCACCTACCAAAATCCATCTACAGCCAGATCCAGGAACAGCGCATCATGAAGGAAGCTCGCCGAAGAAAGGAGGTGAATCGTCTCAAACACAGCAAGCCCGGATCTGTGTCGATTGTCCCAGAGAAGAAGAAACACATAGTGGCAGTTGTGAAATAATACTTGGTATCCCTACCAATCCTGATGTCTAATCATTTGTTACCTATTGATATGCGTACTCTGCAAATAAAGTACTGCTTCTAGAATAATAACACACGGTTTAGTTACAGGTAGAGCACTATGTACCATGAGAAATGGTCCTGAAAGGTGGCCTGGTTGTTAAGACTGTCCAACATTTTAACCCTGATCTGCTTTCTTATTTCACTCAAGAATACAGTATTTGCAAACTATTTATTACCGTTAGAAATTGCAGATATACTTCCTCTTTGATCTGTTATTGTAGATATACTATACATTTGAATTTATGTTTAAGACCAAACCTCTCTTTTGTTACCTTTAATACTACTTTGGGTGACTATTGCAGTGATTCCTCCTGATGATACATAACATGTGGAAGAATTATGTCAGAACTTTCTCAATTCAATTTTCTGTGCTTTATTTTTCTTTGGCTTTTTGAGAGTTTAAAGATGATCAGTCTGCATTTATATAACTTTTATAAGAATTATAATTTATGGTTTAAGATAATAAATCATCCTTTTCTCTGCATTGTAAAAAAAAAAGGGGGGGTTCCTGCAGCACAGGCTCCCCTCCCCCGTGGAGCACCAGCTCCCACCTCCAGGAGCGCCCCTCCTCCTGGAGCACCGGGACCCTCCCTCCTCCTGGAGCGCCAGCTCCCCTCCTGGAGCACCCCCCCGCCCCCCTCCTGGAGCACATCCCCCTCCTGGAGCCCCAGGACCCCCCATCCTGGAGCGCCCCCTTCCCCTCCTCCCTTTCCCCCCACCCCAGGCCCCAAGCCCGCGGGTCCCAGGCAGCCCCAGCGCCCTCCCCGCTCCTGGAGCACCCCCCCGGGCCCCTCCTGGAGCCCCAGGACCCCCCCCTCCTGGGGCGCCCCCTTCCCCTCCCCCTGGAGCACCCTCCCCCCTCCTGGAGCGCCCCCTCCCCCTCCTTCCCCCTCTTCCCCGCCCCAGGCCCGAAGCCCGCGGGTCCCGCCGGGGTCCCGGAAGCCCCAGGCCGCGGCCGAGCAGCGCCCCTCCCCCGGCGGCCCCGCGCAGAGGCTGCCGGGACTGCGCGGCCCAGGCGTCCCCGGACGGCGAGGCCCGGAAGCCCCGAGGCGGGAGGAGCGGACTGGGCGAGCGGAGCGGGCGGAGCGCTGCCGGGAGCGCCCCCAGGCCGACGCAGAAGCCTCGCTGCCCCCCCGCGGGCCCCGCTGTTTCCGTCCCGACGGCCGAGCCGGGCCCGCGGGCGCGGAGCTGGTCCCGGGCGGGATGCGGCCGCGGCCGGGGCGGTGGTGGCTGCTGCTCTGGCTGCCGCCTCTGTCCTCGCTGCCCGCGGGCGCGGTGCGCGGAGAGGCGGCGGAGCTGTCAGGTAACGGCGGGCTCTGGCGGCGGCGCACGCAGGCGCACACGGGCCCCGGCTCCCGGCTGCGCTGCCCCGACGCCCTGAGGCCGCGGGCCCAGCTCGGCGGCGGCGGGGGGAGCGGAGCGGGGCGGGGGGGGCGGGGAGTGGGGAGGGAGGGGGAAGGGGGCGAGTGGGGGAGAACCTGGGAGCGAGCAAGGGGCGGGGCGAAGGGCGGGGCGAGGGTCCTGGGAGCGAGCAGGGGGCGGGGCGAAGGGCGGGGCGAGGAACCCGGGAGCGAGCAGGGGGCGGGGCGCCTCCTGGTCGGGTCAGGCTCCCCGGGTTCCGGTCCCCGCCCCGGAAGGCAGCCGTTGCCCACCAACCCGTCGCCGCCTCCTTGGCCGCCTCTCCGCGTGGAGTCGCCGGGTGTGCTGTAAGCCGGGCTTAGCGCCCCCTCCAGGGAGGGCAGGGCTTGTCTGAGGTTAGAGACCCGGAGCACCTGCCCCAGCTGCCAGCTTGTCGCCCGTCGCGTCGGGGATCCGTTCTCTGCCAGTTTTCATTGCACAGACGTTTGTGGAGTGCTCACTAAGGGCTGGCAGTGTTAACAGGGCTCTCGATGTGCTCTCTTAGGTGATAGCCTAGTAGCCCTGTGAGGGTAAGTACCCCCTACGTACCCATCTTATAGATGAATAAAGAGAGGTGGGCTTCGTAGTAAGAAATGTAAGCCGTCTATACATGAGATGGAAACATAAATCACAAATACGCCTGAGAAGGAGGGTTTCTGAGCATGGCAGCAGCCAGGAAAGTGTCAGTAGCCCTGAACCAACCCCCGGAACCTTGACTTCTAGACATTCATGACCTTCCCCCCCCCACACACACACACTTGTAGAAGTACCTTGGTCCAGGCACAGCATCTTTATGCACCATGGTTTTCTCATCACTAAAACAAAGTTGTTCTATCGCAGAATGGTTTACAACATAACCCAATATTTCGCATGTTTGTGTTACAACATTTAGTGTCCACTGTGACTTCTGTTTTGTTAACCAAAGGGCTAAATGCTTTTCAGAGCTACTGTTCTGCCCAAGAGATGCAGGATGTACACTGAGTTGATAAAATTCTAGCCCAGAGCCAAGAAAAATGGCAAGTTGTGCAGCTTTATGGCAACTCTTGCCATCCCGGGTACGTCTTACAGCACAGGCTGTGGAGCATCCTGGGTCCTGTGTGTGCAGGTGACACCACGTTGGAACCTCTGGACTGGACTAGGTCTGAGGAACGTTGCTGCTCTAAAAGTGGTTCTGTGAACTGAGATCGAACAGCTGGTGCTTCCTTTCACAATAGGGCCTGTCACAGAAGTCACAGAAGTCACAGAAGAAGTCACAGAAGAAGCTTGCATTAGATGATACTGTTGTAAAGTTCTCTCTCGAATGTACACACCCTTCCGTAAAATAGAGAATATCTGGAGCCAGGACGGCTTTCTGTCACCCTGTTTGGAGGAAAGTCAGAGGCAGGTGACATGGGAGAGGCAGGTAGTTGTCTGGCTGGAAGGAAGAGTTATTCATAGTGAACTGTACGGTGATAGGCCACGGCCTGTGATCATCTATGGAGAAGAAAAAACAGTCCTCAAAGTTAGAATCAGCCTGATTGTGTATCAGCATGTGCTAACTTCAGATTTATTCTCTATGCACATTCTCAGAGAAACAAAAATCAAGATTTATATTCAAGTCTGGTTTTAAAAAAAAAAAACTAGGGTTAGAACAGAGAAGTTACTTTCTAATTTTGGTGCTCCATGCTAACCCCTTTGAAAATGTCAATTAGCAAATAATACCCAGAAAAATCCTTCTTCTTCGAACTTTCAGGAGCTAAGTTTTGTTGGTTTTTGCTTTTTGTTTTTCTTGTTTTTTTCCCTTTCCCCTTTTCCAAAAGAAAAGCAGTTATAGGCCAAATGAAGAAAATAGCAGTCTAATTTAATAGGTGGCTTTTAAAATTTTATTATAGTTTCACCTGAAGTTATTTTCTTTCCATATGGGGGCCATGTAAAGGTTAAATTTTTAGAAGGAACGTTGCTGAAATATTTTTATGTTGGAGGTTGTTTAAGATCTGCTAAGATTTGAGGAGCGTTTGTGCTTTTTATTTTTAGCATATTCTATAAGTAGGTTTAAGTACTACCTGCCCTTTTCTGAAATTTTGACTGAATGTTTTTACCTTATGTATGACTAAATTCTTTAACTTAAATATATCCTTTTACATTTAGGAAAACTAATAAATGACAAAAGTGGTACAAAGTAATTTTAAATGTAATTTATTAGTGAAAGCAGGTGATAACCCATCTGTCCCTTTTTTATATAAGCTACATAGTCTTAGATTAATTGAATATTTATAAATTGAGTGCTATTTAAGTGAACTAAGGAATGTCATTGGGTAGGATAAGCCTGACTCAAGTGCTTTGGTAATGTGAATGATTGTGCTTTGTCTTAGTGGTTTGGGCACCACTATCCAGAAAGTCAGAAGGCAGGGTTATTGCAGAATCAAGCAAACCTTTTGAGGCCTACAGGGCGTTACCGTGAGGATAGGATCCTTTCATGGCTCAGAGGTGCAGCCTTGCTGGGGCAGCTTATTAGTAAGGATGGCATTCAGGGCTGGCCCTGCAGATATTCCTAAGTGCTTAGGAGGTGAGGCAGAGCTGGGATACCCCACACTTCAGATTTATGTCCGGATCCGGAATCAGGTTTGAGGAAGTGAATACCTAGGCTACGGGGCACCTTGTAGGGCAGAAACATACTCGGCCTCAAGGGAAGCTGTAGCTGTCCCTAGGCAGGAATTGTTCTCTTCTGATCAAATGAATGATTATTATTAACATTTTTCTGAATCCCTAGAAATTCCCTTTTGTTTTCTCGATTGCACTAAGAGGGAGTTTTGTTGATTATCAGTGTGATGTCTTTGGGTTTGCCTACAGCGACCTCCAAGAAGTTCCATCTTGGAGAGATGAACCAGCAAAGACTGAGGCCCCGTGAATAAGTGACACCTGCAGACATGCAGGCAGCTTCCCAGACCTCAGGGCTGGCTGGGCAGCTCCTTCAACAGCTGATGGAGTTCAGATAAGCAGTCCATCTGGCTAGGTCTTCTCTTTCCCACCCTTAGGTGGAGGTGGAGGAAGTAAATAGTGAAGTGTAAAGTGTTTCTAGAAGAAGCCTAGATAACAGTCTTGATCCTTACGGTCATTGTCTTAGGCTTGGCCTAACTAGCCGGTGGCTTCAGGTTTACAGGAACTCACGTGAAGCTAGATCTGTAGTTTCTTGTAGCTGTGAGTTTCTAGTTCCTTAGTTAGGAGTCCTCTTGGGGGTTGAATGAGGGAGTTAACACTGAGGGTAGCCAGAGCACACCATGAAACGCTAACACCTGGCCTGTTATGTCTCGTATATTGTGTGAATTTGACATCAACTTCACTTCAAAAGCCAGAGAGCACTCTGGAGAATTCCAGGTGGAATACTTTACAACGTGCCTTTAGTAGTTTCCATAGGTATCAGTAGCAGAGCAGTCTACGCATCTATACTTAATCCTGTAGGGGAGCGAAGAGAAACTCAGAGCGTGTTCCTTTCTTCTAACTGGGAGGTCCCTTATGCAGAACGCACTGATGCAAGCTTGTTGTCTCTTGCTTCTCTCTGCCCTTCTTTATCCCAGGAGGATAAAGAAGAAGATCCCTAGCCCAAGGGATCTTAAGGTTTACAGCTTTCAGCCCCAGCCCCGTAGTTAAGGTATGTGGATGATGGAGTAGAGTAAGGGGGAAATGGAGTCCACGGGTTCTGTGGTGGGATGGCAGGGACACAGGCTGGATAGGATGTCGGATTACATCAGATTGCTTCAAGGGGAGGGCTGGGGTGCGCTTCCCTTTATGGTGCTGACTAGTGCCAGGCAGCCTTTTACAAAGATTGGTCAGGCTTTCATTGCCTCAGCTGTGCATGCCCGAATAACCCACTGACCCTCCCAGATTAAACACATACACAGAAGACAGATTTTTTTTTTTAATGATAGTCACACAGAGAGAGAGAGAGAGAGGCAGAGACACAGGCAGAGGGAGAAGCAGGCTCCATGCACCGGGAGCCCGATGTGGGACTCGATCCCGGGTCTCCAGGATCGCGCCCTGGGCCAAAGGCAGGCGCCAAACCGCTGCGCCACCCAGGGATCCCAGAAGACAGATTTTTAAAGGCCGGGGGTACAGTAAAGAACATGCTGCCTCTAACTTCGTGGAGAGACAGAGTATAAGCTGATAAAAATATGAGGAAAAAATAAAGCAGAGTGAGAAGCAAGTGGGTGAAAGGGGTTGGAATGTGCCATTTTAGACAGTGGGGTCAGAGAAGGCTTTCCTAAGAAGGTGACTTTTGGGCAAACCTAAATTACCAAAAGGAGCAAGCTCTGCCAAAATCTGGGGAGCAGATTGCATGTCAAGGAATGGGCAAGTAGGAAAACTTGAGGCAGGAATGGCTCAGCATCTCGAGGACAGGAGGGTTGGTGTGGCCTGAGCAGCTGCGAGGATGAGGAGTAGAGGAGAGAGGGTCACAGTGCTAGATCGTGGAAGGGAGGGTGGATTTTTATTACAGGTGCAGTGTGAAGTCATTGGTTTTGAGCAGGTAAATGATGTGCTCTGATTGATGTTTTTAAAAGATCTTCATGCTGATTGGAGAATAGGTTGGAGGGGAATTGATATTTAGGGCAATTCCAGAAGCAGGGAAACCAGTAATCCTAGTGCAAGGAGACTGGCTTGGATGACAAAGAAGCATTTACTTCTAAATTCAGATTATTGCACTATACTTATGTTACACCATCTTGCTCTTAAGAGTTAGAAATCTCAAATGATTTAGGAGATGGTCTTAGGACCAAGTGGAAACAAACTCATTGGAAGGCAGCATTTGTTTGCAAAGCTTGGACCCGGAAAGAGGATGTTCCCTCAAACCACGAACAAGAGCAGTAGTTAGTTCTCTGTGCTTCGGCCCCGGAGCCACCCTGCAGAAAAGCCCCTGGCCTGGAGCACCGGCCATGTTGGGAGTAAACCCAAAGAACTGGCCGCCAGTGACCTTTCTTACAGTGGTTCGGGGCTGCTGGGGTCTGTGGACCTTGGCCCCGCCCTCCCTCACCTGTCCTGCTGGAATGCGCTCCCTTTCCAACACAGGTAGGAGTTCCTGTCTTTTATTGAGGCCCCGGGGTCAAGTTGTGGACCCCGCCTCCTGGTTTAGCCGGGAGGCTCTGCAGAGGCAGAACGTGGTGGGCTGCTCGCCGAAGGCCGTCCACAGCCTCCTCCCCGTCCTCCCTCTGCTCTCACTGCCTGGAGGCTCTCACCATGTTTGGTTACTCAGGTGCCCCCAGGTTCTCTTGCCTCTGACGTCATTTCCACAGCCAGCTGCCAGCCCTTTGATGTCCGGAGGGCCCTCTCCCCTGCGTATCCCTGGGCCGGGGGTAACCCAACGGCTCCCTCAGCACTGGCTCTGCATCCTCCTTTTGGTCTCGTATATGAACATGCCGTACTGGGGGATGGATTTTTAATTTTTAGTCTCCCATATTTAGCAGAGCACCTCTAGAGCCTCCTTCACGGGCCTTTTTGAGACCTGTCTCTTAGAATTTTGTATTTGCATCTTGACTCTCAAACTCTGCAAATGTGTTGGTATATTTAAAAATGTAAGCATTTCCTCCCAATGTTAAGAGTCAATTTTAAGTGATTTGATGGTGTCACATTGGAAAATACTGTATTCTCCCGTGACTTTCCTACTTTGTGTAACTTTGTGACCTTTATGCAGTCACATTGGCCATATTCTCTGCATCTTCTCAAGTGTGTCTCCACTCTCTCGGGCTCAATGCTTAGGATGCATCTAGCTTGGGCACAGACCTACATGGGCTTCTTCAGTATTATTCCCTAAATGGCTGTGACTGTTGACCAGTTATTAGTTACTCAATCCTTCCCTAACTTTGGTGCAGCAGGTTGTTCTAGCTTCATTTCAGGTTTTTCTGGAGCAGCTGACCACACTTCCCATAGAAAAGTTGGGGAGCTCCCAGGGGCTCAGGGGTTGAGCATCTGCCTTTGGCTCAGGGCATGACCCCGGGGTCCTGGGATCGAGTCCCGCATCAGACTCCTTGCATGGAGTCTGCTTCTCCCTCTGCCTGTGTCTCTGCCTCTCTGTGTCTCTCATGAATAAATAAATAAAATCTTTAAAAAAAAAGTTGGGGATGGGCATAAGGCCCAGTTTTCTGTGTGCCCATAGCATTCTCTGTGCCTGCTTCCTGTTGACAGACACAGTGATGACACCCTATCCTGGATCCAGAAGAATTTATGACTTTCATCTCAGTTCAATTTATTTTATTTTTTTCCCACAGAAAGTGGCTTATTGCTTTTAGAACAAAAGAAGATGCTTCCAGAACTTTTGTTAGTGAAAAAAAACTGTTAGAACATGAAAACTTTTCTAAAACATTTGTCAGTTGATGGAAGTAAGCACTTCAACATAGAGAACTTCCTGCTTGCAACCGTGTGGAACCAGAGCTGTGGGGTTCGATACACTAACCACTTAGAGGCAGGGCTTGTGCTCGTGGCCACTGTTCCGAGGGTCGCGTCTGACCTGCCCGGGTGCATGCAGAGGGCCCCCCCCATTCCCAGCTCTTGCTCCCACCTCACGGCCTGTAGGGGATCCCGTGCGGGAGACCCAGCTGAGTGAAGGATGGAGTGGCCTGGCTGGCACCCGGCCTCACCCAGCAGGGAGGAGTGGTAATCCTCCCCGAGCTCGGTGGCCTCGGTTGTCCCGTCCGCAGCAGAATTCCCCACTCTGGACACCCTCTCCTCCCCCAGTGATCCCCCTGGGGCCAAAGCCAACGTTTGGTGGGAGAGCAGGAGGTGAGAGGCTGCACTCCCTCACGGGCATCTTTATGGTAGACGCCTGCCCGTCTAGATGTGCGTAGGCGATTCCTGTGGGGCAGGCAAAGGCCAAGCTACGGACGTGGCAGCTCAGGCCAGGAGCGGCCCACGGAAGCCCGGCACTGTTCAAGGAGCCGGGGGGGGGGGGCACTCAAGGCCCCAGGCTGGGGGGCAGTCAGCAGGCCTGGAGTAGAGCAGGTGGGGCTCCCAGCAGCTCTAGATGCCTGAGGCCGGAAAACAAGCCTGCCAGCTTGTGGCACCAACGCTGATCCTCAAGGACTGATCTTGGCCTCCAGCCCTGACTCAGGGGAAGAGGGCGTCTTACTTTATTTTAAATTCAGAGGGAGCCACAGATAAAATGAATCCCATTACTTTACATGTTTCTTACGGTATTTACCGTCTAATAAGGCACCTCGCTCTCCTCTTCTGTGTACTGTATTGTGTTGTATATTATTTGTATGTTACATATGGATCCCAGATCATTCTCTGTCCTTCCCTCCCCGGCTCAGTATCTGAAAGCTGACATCTGTGGCCTGAGTCACCTGGGCTTCTTTGTCCTTTGGTTCCCCTTGGGTTTGGCCAGTGAGGAGCCCTGATGGGAGGGCAGGAGAGAGGTTGAAGTAGTCATATCTCCGTCCGCCATTGTATGTTTTGTCAGGGATTGCATCCATCAGACTGTCCTCCGGGTTTTAGTAGCTCCAACAAATAACACCAGGTCCTCCCTTTGCCATTTCAGGCCTAGGGATGTTGAAGACTTCTTGCTGTCGTTGAAGTCTAGGAAGTTCACGGTGTCTTAGTTGACAGTGTTGATGCCTTAACTCTGCCCACACACTCCCCGACCTCTTCAGTAAAGCCTTCCTGAGTGTCAGCAGTTACCTGCTGAGACTTTGATGCTCACCTAGAATTCTTCAATGCTCAAGTCCATACTCCTTAAATTCCGTCATAATTCCCCACACTCCGTCTTCAGTGAACAACTGAACCACTTCTATGATTTCCCTAATCTTGGTTTTGTACACACTTGCCACGCTCTAACCTTTCTTCTCTGTCTCGTGGCCTCCAACTTATCCTTCAGTGCTCCACCCACATTTCCTCTTCTCTAGGAAGCTGCCCCCAATTCTTGCCCTCTACTCCCAAGACTGAAGTACCTATTCTCTGTGTTCTTAGACTACCTTCCATGTGTCATAAGAGTATTGATGCTGGACTGTAATTTTTTGTCTGTCTATTGTAGGTTGGAAAGACTATAGGACTGTAATAACAATGTAGAAGAATCCATTGGTCAGAGAATGTAAAAATAGCATTATTCTTGTGAATTAAAAAGGAAAAAAAAAAGGGTATGATTCTGGGAAATTAAATCTTTCAGAAATATATTTTCTGTTTCATCTCTCAGTTGCAAGGTGTAAAGCCCTGAAGGAAATGGATTTTGTTAAGACTTCCAACTCAGACTGTTACTGCTACAATCGAAATTCCCAAATGGAGTGGAAATACATGTGGTCGACTGTGCAGGTAAGAGCCTATGTTTAAATCACGTCTTGAGAGCTGAGAATTAAAATGTACTATTTCAAGAATTAAAAATATCTTTTATATGACACAGAGCAGTGTATCGGTATGAAAGGTGACTTGGGAATCACATAGAATGGCCTAAGGGAAAGGAATGTATGGAAGGGAATATTAACTCTTCATACTTTCCGTGAGCCCTTCTCCAAACCACTCTAAATAAATATGATATCTAAGTGACCACGGTGTGCTCGCTGTTCAGACACAACTCAGGACAACACCCTGTCTTCTACTTACCAAAATAATTGCTATCCCAAGCCACTCACTCTCTGATCCCAGGTATGGCCAAGAGTAGTTTTTCTCAGTAGCTTAGTACTTTCCTTCATTCAGCACTTAACATATTTATTAAACACTTGCTTAGTGCCAGGAGCGTAGGCTTTTAGGATACATCAGTGAACAAAAGATCCCTGCTCCTATGTTTATACTCTTAGGGGTGTAGGAGTATAGGGAATAGGCCATAAATGTAATAGAGAGGAAAATTATAAAACTAGTAAGTGCTATGAAAAAAAAAAGAAAATGTAGAGCAAGGGAGGCAGAATGAGGGAGGTAGGGAAGTTAACAGTATAAAAAGGGTGGCCAGGGTAGTTCTTGTTGAGAAGGTGGTATTTGAGAAAGATTTTAAAGAAGTTAGTGAGTTATCAAGATAATATTACCAAGAAAGAGTAGTCTAGCCTGAGGGAAAAGATAGGACAGCATATCAGAAGGAACATGACGTTGATTTGTACTGTTGCTGGTTGTAGGCACCACTTTGGCCACCTGGTTAAGGTGGTATCTGGCAATTCACAGTTTTACCACTATGAAGTAACCATTGTACCCTTTGTAATAAATGATTTTTGAGGAGATAATTTAAAACTATGTAGAAAAAAAATAAAACTATGTAGATATCCTTTTCCTCATCAATTTTTCACTCTCTAGTTTTATCATCCATTGATGATGCTTGCATGAATCAGATATCATCATGACGTTAATCAAATGGTCATTTTCTAATTCCCTTATTCTTTCTACATTCATCAGTATTCTTCAATAGGGGAGAGTTTTTCCTTCTCCAGGTTATTTATATCCACATAGTGTTATGGATTGCCATTTCATTCAGTGGATTATAATCTATTACTTCATGGTTTATTTTGATATTCAGATTGTCCTGGATTTGACCAATAGGAGCCCCTTCAAAGTAGCTCATTTGTCCTTTTAATTTGTGCCTATCATTTGAGCATCTTCTGGCAAACAAGATGTTCCGGGCTTATTTTGTGATTTCTGAAACCCAGCTCTGGAATCATACTTTTTTTTTTTTTTTTTTTTTAAGAGATACTCAGAGTTAGGTGTGTTTATTAGTGCTGGGATACCACTGTCACATGTGTACACACATAGACATATATATACATACACATGTGTACAAATCTATTTGTGATTCTCTATCTGTTGAAAACCATGAGTTCTGATATCTTCCATACTATGGGTTCATTCTAATTTCTCTCCTTGACATATTTGTAACTTTCTTCTCTGATAGTGGGGAACTTAATTTTCATTATTCTCAGTATATTGATTTATTTGCCTAATGCTTGAATAGTAATTTGTTATTTATTTGTTAATATTTGTTTAGAGTGTTTTTTTATCTCTAGTTTAAGAGTATATAGACTACATGCTATGCTCCAAAATTACTTACAAATTACAAATTACTACCCACCCCCCTTTAACATAGTTGTATTTTTCATTTGAAATATATTTAGTTTTGTTTCCATTTCCATTTGAAATATATTTGTTTTTTTAATTTGTTTTCAGGGTTTTCCCCATCCTAATTGATTTTATTGTCATTTTTTTTTAGTGTGTATGGTATCAATATGGTTTAATGTACAGAAGTATTCTCAGAAAAGTGTCACTCCCCCTCTTTCCTCTACCTCTTCCTGCCCACCCCTTGTGAGTAGTTAGTCTTACTAGCTTCTCAATGTCTTTCCTGTGTTTCTTTTTGCAAAAGTAAACAGTGATGCATGTTTATAGACAGTAGAGGAAGTGAGTTTAGATGGAGGACCAATAGCTGAGCCTGGATCCGCCTTATATATAGGAAGGGAGAAAGGAGCCAGCAGAGGAGAGAGAGAAGGAACACAAAGTGAAGATGTCCAGGAAACTGTGGGAAGAAGGTGTTACAAGGAAAAGGGAGTGATCAGCAGTGCTAAATGCTGTTGATGGATCAAAAATGATGACTGAGAACGAATTGGCCATTTGATTTAGCAACATGTAGGCCACTGTTGACCTTGTCAGGGACAGCCTGTTGGGAATGAAACAATGATTGAAGAAGTTTAAAGAGAAAATGGGAGAAAGGGAACTTAAGACTGCAGGTATGGCAACATTTTAAAAGAATTTGATTGTAGTGGGAAACAAGGGGATAGCTAGAAGGGAAAATGGAGTCAATAGAAGGCTTTTTTCCCCCAATGGGAAAAATATCAACATGTTTGTATGCTGATAGTGTTGTAGGAAAGATGTTGAGGTTCAAAGCCAGTGACCAAGAAAGAATTCTTGAGATGTCTTTGGTGCAAAAGGTGGTTTTATTAAAGCACAAGGACAGGACCCCTGGGCAGAATGAGCTGCATGCACTGGGGTCGTGAGGAGTGGCCCATTCTATACTTTCAAGTTGGGAGGGGGTTAGGGACAGCGTAAGTCTCTAAGGAATTTTGGAAGCAAGGTTTCCAGGACCTTGAGGAGGCTACTATTGTTGGGGAAAGGTCATATGTTACTGTCTAATAAAACCTTACTCATGAGACCCTTCAGATGTATATCGGTGGGTCATATGTGAGGGGCATGATTGCCAGCCAACATGTATCTTGGGGGTTTAGAGATAAAGGAAATTTCTGAAGGAATTTTTATATGTTAAAGTAGACTTACAGGGTCCTGGGGGTCGGGCTAAGATTGCCTTTGCCTTTAGCAAAATGTTAACATTAAGGAAGCTGAGTTTCTAGAAGAATGTTACTCTGCTGCTTTCGAGGACTTCTCAATGGGCTATAGGTAGTAAGGAAATTAAATTTTTCTTTTGCCTTTTTTTCCCGTATCAATAGGAATGGTCCAGTAGAGAGGGAAGAAGAAGTATTGGTAGGATGTCCTTGAGTAGATAAAGGTGATCTGATTCAGTGCCTTTAAAATCTCCTCTAAATCTCCTGTGTGGCAGAAAGTTCCTCCCCACAGGTAGGAAACAGAGCACGTGCCTGCCGGTGCCCTCCAGTTGTTGAGTATGGGGACAGAAGCCTGTTGACATTGCCTTCTTCCATTTTCAGCCAAAAGTGCGGGTGGGGAGGAGGTGTTGGTATTGAGGAATAAAAAGCTGTTAAATATTTGTTATACAGATTGGAGGGTAGATAGGAATGTATGGTATGATCACCTGTAGCTTCAGGTCCCACTTCAGTTTCACGCTCATGGGTGTGAAGTCAGACTGCTATGCATTTATCTAGCACCATTTGGTGGTGCAAAGGCAAGAGTGGAATGGGCAGAGTTGGATTTTGCAGGTAGGTGTGACAAAGCAAGAGTGGTGTAAAGGAGTCAGGAGTACCTGCAAGAGAATGATTTATAACGATTAATCATGGAATTTCGCTGGATAAGAAGGGGCTAAGGACATCAGAGGGGTGAGGAGCAGGGAAAAATGCTTTGACCCATGGTGGGCTTAAAGACTTCCTGGGGTCAAGGTACTATAAGGGGCATGCTGGAAAGGTAGGAGTTGGTGGCCAGCCAGCAGGATGCCTGAAACAACCTGTAGAGGGGCTGTTGTTTGGTAATGATAAGGTCCAGAGTGTGGCCATGGGAGTGGTTAGCTGAGGTCAGGCAGAGAGTGTTAGGGGAGAAGCTCAAGATGCCGAGAGTCAGAGAATTGGAAGGAGTTTGGTGTATTGTGCATATTGATCCCTTGAGAGGTATGACAGGAAATAGTAGTAGAGCAATGGTGAGCCAGGAGCCAAAGTCCATGAGAAGTGAGGGTAGGTATTGGGTTATAGCACCTGATGCCTGGTTTTCTGGCTTGCCTTACTCATGGACAAGAGTCAAGAAGCCCCGTCCTGCGTGTCTCTTGGCAGCACATCCCTGAGTGCCCCTTCCATCCACTGCCCGTCCGCTGCAGTCTGCATCGGCTTCCTCCCAGGCTTGGGCGCCTCCTCCGGGAGCAGTGACTCTGAGTCCAGCTCAGACAGTGAAGGCACTATCGACGCCACTGGCAAGACTGTCTCCTCCATCTTCCAAACCAACACCTTCCTCGAGGCCCCCTAGCTCCTGTGTCGTTCAGAGCTCCTGCCCAAGAGTAGACCGGATGGTTCGTTCTGCCTCTGGGTATTACCTCCCTCAGAACTCCTTTGCCTGCTTCCTGTGCACACCATGACATTTTTAATCTTATCTAAAAGTGTGCCAGAATCTACCTGTGGCCCAACTTGTGTTTGGTTTCTTTCTAGATGTCCAAACCTGTCCTGCCGCCTCCTTCCTTACTGCTGCGGTGGGGGCCCAGGCTCAGCAGAAATTCCACTGAAAATGCCCTGGGAACACAGGCACCTGCTGGTGTGCCAAGTGTTTGGATTGTGTTGCTTCTTGTTTTCTTCTTTTTTTTTTTCTTGCCCAACAGCACAGAGAAGCAAGGGCAGTTACTGGACAGGTATCATTTAAACCTTCTATTCTAGCTGAACACACCATGTGGTTGTACTGCGTTGTGGAGCATGTCAGGGGGTGGGGGGAGGAGGGGCCCAGGTGATGAACTGGTGCGCTCCCTTGGAACTAACCAATTCTTGATGTTGTGTGATTAAGTAAAGATTATAAACTACAAAAAAAAAAAAAATCAATCACTGGATTGTCACTGTCTGCTTGGTGTCACTGTCTGCTTAGTGCTTTTTTGTGAGACCTAAGTGGGATCTGTGATTGGATTCTTCTTCGGAGGGCACGAGGAGAGAAGCCTGAATCACGTATGCTCGGCTGATCCGGAGGAAGTGCTTTTCCTCAAACACAGTAGAAAATGATAGAAATATAAACCTTGTGATAAACCAAGGAGTTTGCCACCTATTACTTTCTGTCGTCCTTTTTCACATGTCCCTTGGCCACAGCAACTTGCTAGAAGGGAGTTGAATCACCTACAACTCAGGGGAAGAAACATCCACTTTAAAAAGTCTATGCTCCAGTATGTTCGAACTAAACAGAGATCTGTAGGTCCACGGCTGGGATCCCTGGGACTGTGGGACATCTACTCAGATGTCATTCTTTAGTCAGTTATCTTGGGCTCTCTCTATTCACCTGCTCATGACTTTAAGGAACTTCAGAGACGTTTTAACTTCTGTGTTTATAGATTTGTTTGCTCTTACTTTATAGGTGAAAATTACCAGTTCAGGCCTGTTTAATATTGTATACATCACAGAAAAATATAATTGTCAGTATCCAGAAACCATTCTATCTTTAATCAAGTGTATGATTCATAATTTTTGGACACCAAAGATGTCTAATGAAATAACCATAATCATCAATCCATATGGAGAGACCATGTGCTTCTCTGTGACGCCTGTCAGGAAGATATTTATGTATACAATTAGTGTGAATCGAAATCGTAAGTCTGTTTTCATTATATTTGATTTAGCTTTTCTGGAGTGACATTTCAATAGATCGACTTGTTTCACTAACTACACTGACACAAAATCTTTGTTTGTTGTGTGCCTTTTTTACTCCAGTTGTAGATTTCCAACTCTGCTTTGTGTTTGTGGCAGGCATTTTCCTCTTCTTTTATGCAAAGACCTTGAGTCAGTAAGTATGCATTTTTTGCTTTCTTAATTTTGTGAATTAAAAAGGGGCTAGCACAGTTTTGACCCTATGCTAATAAATATTTCCACACTAGCTTATAGTTCTTGCTTTAGATTGTACAGACAGTAGGTCTGAAGATGGTGCCAGAAAGGCCTTTAAAAACCCATAGCAGTACACGTGATATGTATGTGTATATTACAGAGTGTGTTTACATGCATTATTCTGTGTCAGGTGTTAATACACATTTTTTTTATTTGATCCTCCTAACAATTACGTAAGTTCTGTATTATTGTTCTCATTTTATAGATGAGAAAACCAACATTCATCATGACATGACTAGCTCTTGCTAGGACTGAGATTTATACTCAGGTCTTCTGATGCCAGATGCTGCTCTCTCTCTTAGATTCAGGCTGCTTCCAAGATTTGTGGCTCTGGTACAGAAGGTTGAATTTTTTTTTTTTAAGATTTTATTTATTTATTCATAGAGACACACACACACACAGAGAGAGAGGCAGAGACACAGGCAGAGGGAGAAGCAGGCTCCATGCAGGGAACCCGATGTGGGACTTGATCCCAGGTCTCCAGGATCATACCCCGGGCTATAGGCAGCTCTAAACCGCTGAGCCACCGGAGCTGCCCCAGAAGGTTGAATTTACCAAGTACCTGACTCTTGCATAAACGTGTTATCCTGATATTCTGTATATTACAACTTCTCTCACGAAAAGGCACTTTTTTCCAATAACATTTTATTTCTTAAGCTTTTTATTCCTAATATTGTTTATCTTCCTTGTCGTATAATTGTGTTTAATGTAAGGCATGACCTTTAGAAACCCAATGTTAGTTACGTAGCCTGAGGAGTAAAGCTTGGACTCCCCAGGAACCAGACTGCAAGCCTGTGCCCTTCGGTTGGCAGATACCGACTTGGGGAAGGTCTTTAACTTCTCAGTGCCTTCGTTTTCTCCTCTGTGAAATTTAGACATGGATAGCCGTCTCACAGGGCCGTCGTGAATGCGTGCCCAGCTTGCAGACCAGTGCCTGCTACATGATAGGTGCTCAGTAATTTTTCTGGCATCAGATACTAAACATAGAAGGTAACGCCGACATTTTGTTTTGAGTTAGTGGCCAGCTATTTACCATAAATTGCAAGTACAGACTTCATTTTATAAGAGTATAGCATGTAATTAAAGCTACCATCTGAGTTTTTCTCCTTGGTATTCTTCCTGGCTACTGTCATCAGGTTAAGCATGGTTTTAACACTGAAAGTGCCGTGTAGCATTTAAATGGCTTTTATCTGCTTGTCTTGACAGAAGTCCTATTTTCTATTACTCTTCTGGGACCGTGCTAGGTGTTCTAATGACATTAGTCTTTGTCCTGCTGCTGGTGAAAAGGTTAATTCCCAAGGTAGGCATACTGTGTATAAATGAATGGAAGAGGGAAACCATCATCTCATAGACATGAAAAATTGATCCAAGTTAATTCACACTGATTATGGTTCCTGATTCAAACTGTATTTCTACATTGTATAAACTGACTTTAAAATGAATCTTTTTCTAGAGATTCCATTTTTATTTGTTACTGTATATATCCTCAAGTATTAAGTTTTGGTGATCCTTTTTTTGAGACCTTTTTACTTTTTGGGTAATACATTTTTCTTATGAGTGGCCAGGGACTGATCTATGCTGAGTAGAAATTTGTCTTGGTCTTAGCAGAGCTGAGGAATGTCATGATGCTGAACCGTCAAGGCCTTGAATAACTACATTGCTACATCTGGGGATTTCTTCATTATTATTTGTTCCCCAAAACACATTTAATGAAAGAATGCTCTGTACTGAGGAATAAATATTAGTTCATGATGATCATGTTGCAGATACTTGGTTAAAGCTTACAACACTGGCATATTTTGAGATAAATTTATTTTCTTTAAAGAAGTGCTTCTCCCACTTTAGTGTACATATGAGTTACCAAGAATCCTGTTGAAATGCAGATCTGACTAGGAGTCTACCGTGGGACTCAAGAGTCTGCATTCCAGCAAGCTCCCAGCTGATACTGATGCTGCTGGTTCATGGACCATAACTTTAACAAGACTCTAGAGAGTATCTTGAATTGACTTCAATGCAATTTGATGTAGAAGTTTCTAATACAAAGCGTTTATTTGTTTGCTCCTATTTTGTGAGAGTGAATGAACCAAAAACTGTGTCATTTATTTTCTTCCATACACAGTATAGCACCTTTTGGGCTCTAATGGTTGGTTGTTCGTTTGCTTCAGTTTATTTTGTGTGCCGATTCACGGAGGATCTGAAGTGGCTATGGGATGAAAACAGAATATATATATTAGGTAGGTAATTTTTTAAAAAATCCCATTATTGCTAAAGCTGAAAAATATAGCACTTTTGGTGAAACACTTGGTGGATTACGTAAGTTATGTGTGTTTCACAGTGGATCCCAGCTGGAGACGCAGAACAGCTCAGCATCCCACCATTACTAACGCAGAAGCTGAGCACTGGATCAGGGGTGCAGCCTGGTCCCGCCACTCTTAAATTATATTTTCCTTTTTTAACTAGAAAGTGACAATAAAAAGTAGGGTCTGTAGCCAGCTGTGACATATGTTGAGACTTATTCCTGACCAAAGCAACCATGATAGCATTTGCCCATCTAGGACTCTGGACTAAAAAACAGGTATATATCATTGTAATTTATTATTAAATATACCTAATTATTACAAAAGACAGCATAGTATCTTACATGGAAGGAATAAATAGCCCTGTATATGTTTTTCAACCTTACTTCTTTAGAAAAAGAAGACAGAAATGAAGGCTTTCTGATAGGTTGTTAGCTTAAGTCAAGGCTCTGTCAGGATTTTTCATAAAGCTATTCAAGTTCAAATTTTCAAATTCTTCTGCTTTTCTACAGGCTATGTCCTAATGGTGGGATTTCTCAGCTTTGCTGTTTGTTACAAACACGGGCCCCTTGTTGACGAAAGGAATGTGAATCTTCTGACGTGGACTCTGCGGCTCCTGGCGCTGCTTCTGATCTACTGTGGTGTCACTGTGCCCCAGTGCGCCTATGCGGTTATGATCCTCATCCTGTCCTCCAAGAGTCTCTGCTACCCATTGAAAGCATTCAGTTATATGAGGTGGTGCCTATCTTTTTTTGCTTTGTAAATTTGACATTTTGAGCTCTGGTTTTATTGTTTTGGGAAGTTTCTTGCACGTGTCATATTTAGTCTCATAATTAACTAGCACGTTTCATCTGGAGGTCTGCGAGAGGACGGAGAACTTGAGCATTGAATCCCATCTCCGTTTCTAGTCTTTGTTTTTCAGAGGACTTCCCTCGATTACGAGGTAATCCTAGCTCCCCCAGAATTCACTAAAATCAGTGGCGGAGTCAGTTGCAGTCTGGGTCACCTAAAATTTCTACTTTCATCCTACAGTTCCTTTCATTAGGGCCCAAGATTGCTTTAAAGACATTTGTTGTCCTTATGAGATAGAGCTAGAGAAGTGAAGGTATTATTTATGTTTAGGAGGTTTTTTTTAGGTATTTAAGCCCTTAAAAATACAGAGATGAGGCAGCCTCTGTGGTCTCAGCTTTGCTGCGGTTCTCCTTAGTCACGGAGTCTGATCACCTGTTTTTTGCGTCAGGTGCACAGAGAAGGAGATGCTCCTACCCTTGAGGTGTACTTGCTGACACATCAGCAAAAGTTGCTGTATCTCTGAAGCGTTAAGATACGCCTGCGCAGGGACAGAGAGTTCAGGAACTTTCCTGAAGAAGAAATTACTAGGCTGAATCTCTGTGAATTGAAACAACGAGGTGCATAAGTGTAGAAAGGAGTTTCCTGAGAGGGAGGAAGGCCAGGAGGCAGGGGAGGGAGGGCGCACTGGCCGGGGTAGGGGCCTTCACAGGCCTCGTCAGGGAGCCGGCAATGGCCGGGGCACAGGGGGCCGGGAGCCAGGCGCGGGCGGTCCGCCTCTCCGCCTGCTGCCCAGAGCGTCCTGGTGCGGGTGCTGGGGGCCACGCCGCGCCTCATGCCCCGAGCCGGGGTCCGTGTGGTGGGTTAGTCTGACCGGGAGCTGCTGCACTATGTCCGACTGCCCAGCGGCGCTCTGGGTTTCCCCGGGGACACTCCATGGGCCGCTCACTGCGCTCAGCTCTCCACGAGCAGCTCATTTGACCCGAGGGACGCGCCCCCGCCTCCCGTTGCTCGCTCGTGTGAGGAAGTGAGGCGCAGCGGTTCCGCCAGGCCCGCGGCTGGCCGTGCACGTGCCGGCGTCCGGGTGTGGGCGGCCTTCGGGGAGGCACAGGAAGGGGGCCCGTCCGCCGTGTGGCCCGCAGCCTCCTCGCCGCCGCCGACCCCGCGGAGGATCCACGCTCGCAACTCGCCCGGCTGTGGGGAGGCCTCAGCCGCCGGGATGCCGTCGGGCTCGTTCACAGCGCCACGTCCGCGGGGGACCTCGTGTCCTCGTGTCGGCACCGTCTTCATGAGCCTCCCCTTGGGCTTTCTTGACTGGAGCAGTTTCGGGCCGAGCCCCTCGGTCCGCAGAGGCGGCGGCGGCTCCTCCTCCCGGGGCCTCGGCCCCCGCGGCCCCCGTGCCGGGCTCCCCTGCTGGGCAGGTGCCCCAAGAGGGCGCCCCAGGGACAGGGAGCCGGGGAGCTGGGCCCAGCGAGGAGCCGGAGGCCGTGGAGACGCCGCGGCAGCCGAGCGTGGGGGAGGGGGAGAGGCGGGGCTGCTGGCCTGGGTCGGGCGGCGCCAGCCCAGCCGGACACTCACAACCCTTGCGCGTGTCGCAGGAGGCTCCGGAGGTGGCCGAGGGCGGAGCGGGCGGCCGGGCGCCTCAGCGAGGAGGAGTACGGGGAGCAGGCGGCCGCCGAGACGCGCCGCGCCCTGGAGGAGCTGCGCAGCGCCTGCCGCCAGCCCGGCTTCCCCGCCTGGCTGCTGGTCTCCCGGCTGCGGGCCCCCGGCAGGTGAGTGAGCGCCCCAGGGGCGGGGGGTGAGGCGGGGAGCGCCTGGGGCTCCGGCCACCGGCTACCACGACGGGGTGGGGGGGGGGTCAGCTGAGGCGACTGTGCCGCGCAGAGCCCTTCCGGCCGCCTGCCCTTACACAGGCGTCGGGGGGTGGCCCTCCGCTGCCCCCCCGGAGCCCTGAGACGGCGACCGAGCCCCTCCCGCTCCTACATCTCGTGTAAAGGCTCTTCTCGGGGGACAGACTCCAGCGTGGTCGGAGGATAGACCGCGAGAGAACATGCTGCCTTCCAGACCTTTCTGTGACAACATTAACTTCATTTAAAACAAAAAACTGCTTCTTAGATTCGCAGAGTTTGTTCTGGGCGGAAGCCACTTGTCGCTGGAGGAAATCCGCCTGCACGAAGAGCAATATGGCTTCGGGGGCACGTTCTTGGAGGAGCAGCTGTTTAACCCGACGACCGCGTGAAGCCGCCGCGGGCTTCCTTCTGGCCAGGGACGCAGGTCAGAGCAGGGATCCCCGACCCTGGGCAGGCCCGCCTGGGGAGCGCTGCCCAAACCCTGGACTGTGGGAACGAGTCCTCCCGGGAGGAAAACAGGACTGTAGGGGCGCGAACTTCTCCTCCTGGTAAGTTCGGCTGCGCTGCACTGTAGGCGCCAGCAAGACTGACAGAGTCGCCCCGACTGTCACCAGGACCAGGGAGGGCCCGCGGCTCCGCAGGGAGCCCGCCAACGGCTGCCTCCTCCGCACCAGAGGCCAAGTCCTGTCTCACCCCCAGGACCTGCGCCAGAAGACTGACTTGCTCTTCCTGCGCGTTACCAGTTTACGGGCTGGAAGAGACGCGGGGTGCCCCAGCCGGTGTTCTCATAAGTATCACCCGCAGGTGTCCCTAAGTGCCAGTCTGTGAAGGGACTGGGAGGCTGGCTGGCATGGGGCAGAGGTCAACGCACCCCAGGGCTGCTCCCGCCGTGAGGGATGCCGCTGCTGCCCTACAGTGCATCTCCTCAGGAGAAACCGGTGCAGCGCTCTCTGACTGACTGATCAGAGAACCTCTCTCATGAGATTAATGCTCCGTGGAACAGTTTGCGAAGTGCTAGTGATGGTGGAATTGAGGTTTGAGGAGATTATAAAATCTTGTCCAAAACTACGAAACCATTTAGAGGCCGCGCTGGGACTCCGGGCCTAATGGTTCCGACAACTCAGGGTTAGAAAGAGACCTTCAAAGGTGAGCGGAGAGGCCATCTCCCTACCACCTGGGTCTGGGTCTCACAGTATTACTGACTATTTTTTATTTTTTAATGGACAAATAGCTATTTTGATACCTATGACAGAGAAGCATTTCCTAAGATTGTATTTTCAACCTTGAAAAAATTTTTATAGACTTAAATAAAAATTAGAAATGAGAATTATTTTCTGTGGTTTTTTGGTATGTTGAAATTGAAGACATTTAACTTTTTGTGACATTTTGAGTTGACTAGTCCATTTTAAAAATTTAGTTTATATATATTTTTAACAGTTTCCTACAAAACAGATCTGTGATCTTTCTTCAGAGGACAGATCTTTTTTTCTTGATTCTCCAGAGTGAAATGAAACACTCTGAACTTTGACCCAGGGGAAAGGAGGCCAAAACCGAAGAGCTGAGAAAAGATGTGAACATGGCAAAACATTCCTAGGGTTAAGATCTGCTAAACTGAATCACTTTAAGAATCAAATACAGGCTTTTTTTTTTTTTTTCTCTCTTTCTGTGATGGGTTCTTAAAGGATAGAGGCCTAGAGAATGAAGACTCTTTTTTTACTAGAAGAGGGACACATAGGAGGTGCTTTCCTGAGCCAAGTTCAGTAGCACGTTTCTAAATTGAGTAAGCATGGTTCCCATTTGGAACTTTCTAGGCTGATTTTCAAATGATATTTCTCTTTGAAACAGTTTTCAGTGTTCTTAAAGATTTTATTTATTTATTAATGGGGGAGAGAGAGAGAGAGAGAGGCAGAGACACAGGTGGAGGGAGAAGCAGGCTCCACGCAGGGAGCCCGACATGGGACTCGATCCCGGGACTCCAGGATCACGGCCTGGGCCACAGGCAGGTGCCAAACCGCTGAGCCACCCAGGGATCCCCAGTTTATCAGTGTTTTACAGGTTTCTCTTTTTGCCAGACACCTTTTAATATTAGGAGCTTTGCAATTTTTGTAAAATCTAAATTCAGTCTGTGCTTTCACATAAGCTGATTTCAAATATCAAGGAATCTTCCACTCAAATTTATGTTGATTATGATGTTAATGTTTTGTAAGTATAAATGGTTCCAACATCATTTTTGTTATAGTTTAATCTGATTTTTTTAGAATTAAGTTTATTCCTGACATAAATGTATCAGATGTGTTGCTGCTTGTGCTCACTACATTCACCTCCCAGAAGGCAGTTTTTGACAGAATGTGTCAGCTGGAGTTCCCAGGGCCCATCCCAGCCAGGCCTCCGCGGCCTTCACCTGTCATTCCAGGTTGAAGAGGTGCTGACTACAGAAGGAAGCACCTCCTCGGGGGTCAAGCTAGGTGTGACCATCACAATGAAAAAAGCTAAAGAAGGGAAAAGAACAAGAGTCTTTTGGGGTACTGTTGTTTATGTTTATTTTTAGAGGAAATCATGGATTTGTGAGTTTCTGTGGTGTGATGACTGTGAGAAGCTAAACAATTACAAGCATTACTTGTGATACATTTGGTGTATTTCTGTCGTGTTCTTTTGATTTGGGCCTTATTACAGTGCTGATCACAGTTCTAATCCCCATGGAACCGTACGTAGATGGCTCCCATAGGAGATTCGTTTTTCTCTCCTTCCTTTCTCTCTTTTTCTTTCCCTTCCCCACCCTCCTCCCTCCTTTATTTAAAGGCCTTTAAACTGTTTAAGTGACCATTCAGTAAAATGGTTCTGCCTTTCACAGGTGGTTGAAAGTTGGCCTCGTGCTCATACCACCATAGGTGCGCAATTACGGAGCATAACTGAACCCTTTGCGTTATTGCTTATGCAAGGTGCCTCATGAAAGCTTATTGTGTTAGCAAGTTGGGACTGTTTGACACCAAAATGTGTGGGTGACATTTAGTGTAGGTAGTCGTGCTTAAACAATTGTATCATTCAAATGTTATTTTTTAAAGGTTTTAAAACACATTTTACGTATCACAAAAAATGCTTTGTGAATTGGTCATACAATTTGCTAAGGGCTGAATTAGAGGGGAGTGTCCATCTGATGTTTAGGACAATATTTGAATTTAAGACCTTTTTTTTTTTAATCTAGAAATTTAAGAGATTTCAGATTTTAAGAGGCTTGGAATAGATGATGGATTATACCAATATATTTAATATGTGGGTGTTATATGTTATCTGCAGTTCTGTCAAGAAAAGAAAAAGCATTATCCTGTATGTGATTATTTCCCAGTTAGTGAGGTAGAATTTGAGAGAAAAGAGAAAAAAATCAGTTTTTGTCCAGCTGTTATGCATAAATAACATAATAGATGTATGATTTTAAAGCCTGCAGTAAGACAGAGGTGTTTATAGGTGACCCCAAGAGTAAGCTGCCTTCTGAGTCACCCACTGGTGATAATGACATTGAGGACTTAACCATGCGGGTGTGGATCTTGACCTTATTTGATTCAGAACCCTGATTTTTGTCCTTGCGCATAGGAAGACCTACCTCACATCAGCCAATTCATAGAGTCTATTTAGGGATTCACAGCTAAAAATAAAACCGGCAGGATTAAAAACGCTTGAATTAAAAAAAAAAAAAAACGCTTGAATTGATAAAACCAGCAGATTCTCTCCCAGAAGACCCCTTTGAAGGGTTCAAATGGTGGTAAGAAGGTTGCTTGAGCAGAAAGAGAACAAAGGGAGTTTGTTGTATAATTCCCATGCGTAATGTCACCAGACCAAAATCTAATGCAACCACCTCCGTGGGGCCACCGTTGCTAATATCATGAGAGATTCAATCTGTTGTTAAAGACCACCCTTCCTTTAGGCAGGCCCTGCCAGCTTTACCTTTCTGTGATGGTTGTTTTTGTAATTTTTCTGTCGTTGACTGGCATCTCCACCCCCTTCTACTGGGCATGTTCTTCATTCAGATATGTTGTTAAAATCTGCGGTATTTTTCTGGCCGAGGAGTCTAATTACGTTCTTCGGGTCCCTATGCTTATTTTTGCTATGACCCCTGAATGTGATACCTTACTAGGTCACCAGAGAGTGTGGTTGAGTGTATATTTACTAGGATAGATCTTGGAAGACACATTCAGTGGGGTAGCTGCTCTTTGTCTCTTGTTTAAATTATTTGGAGGGATCTTTTTTAGATTTGGTCCATTTTCCAACAAGGCAGTAATCAAAGCAGAAAGGGGAGGAGTACCAGCATTTATTGGCCATCTATCAAGTGCCATATAGACCCTTTCTATGCCTCTTCATTTGGACTTCTTATCACTCTAATCTCTTTAGCGTGGTTTCCATTTTTCAAATGAGGACAGACTCGGAAAAGTTGCTAAAGTGAATCAGAATGTGAGCCTGTGCGGGGCCGTATGCTCTTGGTGTCGCCTGTACAGCCGTCTTTAAAAAACAAAGTCAAGTAAGTGGCTCTGTGGTTAATCAGTTGAAGAGATGACTGTGTCTGATGTTTGGTTCATGCCAGTTCTGGGGCAACAGACCAGTTCCCCTGCCTTCCATCAACCACAGACAGGACTTTTGTACCCTAAAAATGAATGAGAATTAAGTTGAGTAGCACTGGTCCACATGTTATTTTTTGAGACTTCCATTGCTCTCTTAGCGAACCAAAAGTTCCTAACCTTTTCAAAATACAAGTTTACAAAGAGAAGATCCTCAGCTGACTATCTGGCAAAGAGTAGGGGATGTAACTTGTTAAATGATCATAAAATTCTTGCTTACATTTTTTTTGACACCCTTTAGAAGAAAAATATTGAAACTGTGGAACAAATGTCTTATAAGCTCTCCTGTCTGGTTTTTACACACTATAGAATTACCTTTGTTACTTGTCATTTTTCTCAGCTCTTCAATTTATATTTTGCTTAATTTTGTCAGTTAACTTGTACCTACACGCAACTTGATGATTATAGTGCATATGGGAGCTGAATGCTTGGTGGTGTAGGCAACCCTTTTAACATAGCACTGTAGTGTGGGAGATCCAGACTTGGGGCTCCAGAGCCTGCACTTCGCCCCCGTCGCTGTGAGGTCCTGGGTGTCCATCTAAAAATCTCCCTGGAGCCACAGCGGGGCAGGCGGTCCTGCGTTAGCCGCCCGAAGCGGGGAGAGTTGAGTGAGAGGCAGGCGCCCCCGGACGGGCTCACCGTGTTTCCGGTTACTCTCAGGCACAGTTTGCCCTGGCATTGGGTCACTTCCTTTCTGATTTCCTTTCTCTCACCCCTTTATTCTGCCCCAGGTTCTCTCCACCCGCTTGGTGGTTTGGAATTCCTGAGCCAGCCATTCCTAGAGCTTTGCTGGGATGGCACAGGAGTGTTTGGGGCTTCAGAAATCGCGTTGTCTTGTCCCCATGCACCAGAGGATGGGAGACCTTCTGGAAGGGAAATCACCTTTACTTCCCTAGTCAGCTGTCATGGCATACCTCACCTTCACAGAATAGGAGGATTGATTCTAGGATCCAGCCTCTCGCCCTGAGATGAGGAAACTGAGGCCCAGACGGCTCCCCAAAGTAATCTCTCTGTAACTACACTGTCCAGTTTGGTAGCCGTCCGTGAGCCTCATGTGGCTGTTTGAATACAGTGAGAGATCCAGCTTCTTTGGCTGCGCTCGTCAGGGTACAAGTGCTTACTGGCCCCCGTGGCCAGCGGCTCCCACCCCAGACCACGCAGCTCTGCTGAAGCCAGAGCGATTGCTCCTGGGTGCCGGTGGCACGGCTGTCTGCCGGTCCTTGCCCTTGTGTGACACGGGCCTTCAGGGTCCCTGCCCACCTCCCAGGCGGTCTCCATAGGGTTGCCAGACCACACAGAGCCTCTCCGGAGTGCAAGGGGTCCGACCCTCCTGACTAACAAAGTTCCAGGAGTGGGGAGGTGCTGCAGTGCTAGGCATCTGGGAGTATCTAGAAATCCTGCTGGGACTAGAACCACACACGTGCATGTCAGGCACACGTGTAGGCCTGGCTGCTTAGAGCCTGTTCCAGCACAACAGAAGCATGCAGTGGCCTACGCGTCCCGGGGAAGGTGCCGGTGGACCTGAGCCTTGGCATCAAGCAGGTTTGAAGTTGCATCATTTGTATCCTGGCTTTGTGCTCGTGGTCCTGTGAGGGGGTCTGCTAGCTGCAGACTCTATCCTAGGAGGGGAGCTACTCCCATATATGGGGTGGGGGAGGTGAGCTGTACTTACCACGCTGGGTTGTTAGGGGACAAGAGGTAATCTCTGTTCACAGCCATC